TCCGGGTTAGCGGTTAGCCCCGTCCGTCCCAGCGCCTCCAGCACCGCGCCCACCTGCCGCACATGCTCCGCCCAGGTGGTATTGTGGATAATGACGTCGTCCAGGTAGGCGGCAGCATATGCAGCGTGCGGACGCAGAACCCGATCCATGAGACGCTGAAACGTGTCCGGGACCCGAAAAACCCGAAGGGAAGTGTGGTAAATTGGTACAAACCGTACGGGGTGGAGAATACTGTTTTCTCCTTGGACTCTGGCGGCAGAAGAATCTGCCAGTAGCCCTTGGTTAAATCCAGTGTTGTGAAAAAACGTGCAGCTCCTAGTCCAGGAGTTCATCGATCCGGGACACGTCATTCACTCAGCGATAGTCCACGCAGAACCGTACAGATCCACCCTTCTTAGCCACAAGGACGATGGGGCTGCACCAGGCACTTTTAGACTCTTCTATTACCCCCAATTCCAATATACTCGCCAATTCCCTCCGAACCACTTCTTTCTTGTGTTGGGGCAACCTGTAGGGTCGTGACCGTCACGCTCCGGGGGCGTCTCAATACTGTGCACTATGAGGTCGGTCCAAATTCTCACGTGACGTCCGTCCCAGTCTGTGGATTTTTGCTCGCAGGTCCAGGACGTACTGGATCTCATTCTTGCAGGGGCTTGGACCTTCCTCCCAGCTTTCTTTAATCAGGTCCAGCACCCCTCGCGGCGTCCTGCCAAACAGAAGAAGTTCAAAGGGAGAAAATCTCGTGGAGGCCTGGGGGACCGCACTGAAAATAACAGAGGGTCAAGCCAGTGGTCCAAATTACGTTAATCGTTGCTAATAAATTTACGGATCATGGACTTTAGAGTCTTATTCATGCGTTCCACCAGCCCATCCGTCTGCGGGTGATACACGCTAGTACGAATGCCCAGTAACCTGTAAAGTTCTCTCAGTGTGCGCGACATGAACGAAGTGCCCTGGTCAGTCAGAATCTCCTTAGGGATTCCAACTCGGGAGATGACCTGAAACAGAGCCTGCGCGACGCTCTTTGCAGAGATATTGCGCAACGGCACTGCCTCCGGATATCGTGTTGCGTAATCCATGAGGACTAACACAAAGCGATATCCGCGTGCGCTCCGGTGAAACGGCCCGATGAGGTCCATGCCGATCCACTCGAACGGAACCTCCACCAACGGCAGAGGGCGTAACGGCGTCCTCGGAATGGCCGGAGCGTTCACTAACTGACACTCTGGGCAGGACGCTCCGGATGCCTGGCCAATAAAATCGGGTCATTATCCGGTCTAGCGTTTTCTCGTATCCCATGTGACCAGCCATCGGGTTATAGTGAGCCTCCTGGAAAATCATTTCCCGGCAGCTTTTCGGCACCAGCAACTGTGTTTTCGTGTCCCGTCAGAGTGTCCCTAAATCAATGAAAAGTGCGGAAATGACTGCGCTGCGTCAGGGCGCACCAGGTGACCATCAATACATATCACTTGGTCGTAGGCTATCGTCACGAGACTGTTAGAGTGGAAAATCTTCCACGGAGCGAAACTCGGGAGCCGGGGGAGTCTCTACGGGAGGCGCCGCGGGCTCCCCCTCCCCGTCTGCAGTGTCAGACGACCCCGCGTCACCGCTGAGCACAGCGCACATCTCGCATAACCCTGTCGGTCGTGAACGCACCTCCGTAGCCCCCCCTCATTAGCTTATGGAACCCCGGCCAATCTGTACCTATAATGACGGGGTGCGTCAGGCGGGAGCTAACGGACCTTCATTCTCTGCTTTTTCCCCGCATACCTAATTTCCACCGATACCACAGGATACTCGTGAACATCCCCATGCACACACCGTATTCTCACCCGGTCTGCCTCCACCAATGCCCCCGGCTGAACCAGGCTCTGGTGGATCATAGACTGCGTGCAGCCCGAATCCACCATCGTCTGGTGTGTATCCCCCTGGATTCTTACCGGAACGCGGTACGGCGCTCCTGGACCAGGGGAGGGTGCCGGAACGCCGGCCACTCTGATCACCTGTCCCACCTCCATCAGCGGGCACTCTCTCCGGAGGTGACCGAGCCGCCCGCACCTCCAAAACTCCTGCCCCGGCGCTTGAGAACCTCTCTGTGGGTTGGGAAGGGTGCCTGAGTTCCCCGGGGCCGGTGGGTCGTGGCCTGGGGAAAAAGCCAGTATGGGTTGCTCCTTCGTCCGCAGCAGCCTCCCTCCCCGTGGCGCAGCTACTGATCGGGCCGATGTCCGCGAACTCTCCCAGTCTCTCTGCCCGCTGGGATGCACCGCCAGGTGATCCTCCGCCAGGGTGATGGCCGCCTCCAGGGTCGTCGGACGGTGGCACCGGACCCACGCCACTGTCGGGCCAGGACCCCCTCCCCGAACTGCTCCAGCACCACCCGCGTCATCACCCCTTGGACCCCTCCAGCGTCGTCTGGCTGCAGCCACCTCATGGCGGCGTCTTTCAGACGCTGGCCGAACGCGAACGGGCGGTTCCCGGGCCCCCGCCTGGCTTCGCGGAATCGCCGGCGATGGTCTTCCGGCAACAGCCCAAGTCTGTCCATCAAGGCCTTTTTTACATTGGCGTAGTCGCGCCGCGCCGCCGGTGGCAGCCCCATGGCCGCAGTCTGCGCCTCCCCGGCCAGGGGGAGGCAAAAGCCGGACCGGCCACTCCCCCCCACGCTGTGGGGGTTCACGCCCCACAGCCCCAAAAATATTGTACATATTGAATTTTCAGTGAAAGAACATTTTGTGACTCCTCCATCTATGCATACATGGAATATAAATTGCAATCAATCTATTAAGATAAACCAGATTGCCCCATCAGAAAAAAATAAATAAATTTGAGAGAGAGAACCAGCTGATTACAGCTGCTAACGTTAGCTTGTGTTGTCTACACCACTATCTTTAAGGCTAATGTTAGTAGTTAGAATAATTTAAGTGAAACTACCGGCACTGTCTCCTGACGCAGGCCGTTAGTTTTAGATAACTTTTCGGTAAAACTATTGCTAAAAATTATCGTGTAATGTTTTCAGGGGATTTAACGGTGTTAAAGTAGGCGCTCATTACCTTTCGAGCCAAATACTGTTTTATTTATGAAAGCAACCAGAGTCGGTAAAAGGACGCCAACGCCAGTGAGTTAGCCGTGCTCTGCTATAGGCATGACCCGGACCGAGGTCCATCGTCATTTTGCGGAGGTTAAACATTGGTTAAAGGTTCGCCAAAATTACCATCGATGCTAACAACATATCCGGGAAACCAAATCCCCAAAAAATAAGATATCCCGCTTCAACACCCCAAATAGCCGGGGTGTCAAACTCATTTTAGGTAGGGGGGCCGCATACTGTCCACGTTGAAGTCTTGTGGGGAACCTAAAATGAGTTTAACACCCCAGTTCTATAACAAAGAGATAATTCATCCGGACTTGCCAGATTGGCTTGCCGCAGCTTGAATTACCATCAATATTGTAACTGATATGTAGAGTGAAGATTTACATTTAACATTTACATTTAGATTTAACAACAGCCAAACATTATCCTTGGAAAAGTTATAGCATGAATTTCTCTCTAAATGTTTAAAAAAGTGACATATGAATATTGTCGTGCTTTTTTGTTCATATGATAATGCTAAATGTAGCAAAACTGCGCAGGATTTTAGAACGTGCAACATTTAACAAACGGCGCCCCATAAATAAAAGCTCTTTCACCGTCGCCTAAGTGAGTCTTACTAGTTTCTCTCATCACAGTAACTTTCAATGTTATTGATTTTTTTGTTATTTTAAACGCTCCCATGGTGGAGAAGATGGGACAAGTTGATCTCGTGCTCCGAGTTCAAGGGAAACAAGCCAAATATTAGAGGTTGCGTCTCGCTTCCTCAGAAACTTTCCCCACGCCACTGCATATAATAGTTTTCACTGTCCGCGTCAGGACACAGTGCCGTTAGATCTAACTAAAGGCTCCTATCAAGATAAATACATGATGCATCAAATGTTTTTCTAGTTTGACTTTCTCATGAGTTTGAGGCCACTAAAAGTTATCTAGCTTCCTCGGTTTGTAGAAAGGCGTAACGTTGCGGACCGACTTTAACTTAAACAAACAAAAAATAAAGTCAAGTCTCGTTGATAAATGCGCACCACTTTTTGCATTTGGCGCCAAATGGGTTAAAGTTAATGTTAGCGTAGCCTTTCAGTTACCTCCCTTGGGTCAAACATAAACCGAACGGCAGCCGTGGCGTCACCACGTTAAGGTAAAGGATTAGCTCAGTTGTCGTTCTTTTCCAGACGAGGCTCTGCTCATCTCTTCTCTGTGGGAGTATCTTGCCACTGTGGCAACATTAACTTGTTCTTATTTATACACTAAGGAGCCAGCGTTAGCCTGAACATGTAAATGTAGCGCTAAAAGCATGCAGGAAATATTGCTACTGCACAGATCATATTTTAAGTGAAACCTGTCATTTTAAAGCAGCTGTAGCGTCCCTAATTTTTCTGTAATAAAGGTGGCAACCCTACCCAGGACCGAACCCTGGGGGATCCCAGTGGTGAGGACAAGGTTCAGAAACAGATCTTGAAGGGGGAAATAAGGATCTGGTGGTTCACTGTGTCAAATGCAGCAGATAGGCCAAGAAGGAAAAGGACAGAAAAGTGGAAGGCTGCTTTGGCAGAGTTTGTTCAGAGTTGCTCAGAAACAGCAAAGAGGGCAGTCTCTGTTGAGTGGCCTGCTATGAAGGCCGACTAGTGAGGGTCCAGAAGACTTATGGTGGAGATCGAGTAGGAAGACAGTTGGTTAAAGAAAGCTTGCTTAAATAGTTTTACAAAGAAATGGCAGAAGAGAAACAGGCTTGTAGTAGTTAACTTCAGAAGGATTGTGGCAGGTTTCTTCAAACTCTACAGTAAAATACATGGAGAAGCCCCATGAAGCCCCATGAAGATGGAAGGGGAAGTTCAGTCACTCCCACTAAGAAAGTTGTCTCCAGTGTAAAAAAGGAGGAGGATGTGGAGGAAGAAAAGAGCTTCATCAGTTGCATGACGAGCACTGCAGCATCGTGTCGCCTCTCTGAGAATGAAAAGTCTTGAAGATGAACTTTGCTTTCCTCATATCAACTCCTCCTGCAGGAAGGCTGTGCGTCCTCACTTTGTATCTATGTTCACTTATATTTTATTATCCTCCATCTCTCTGCTTACTGTGACTCTCAACCTGCTGGTCATCATCTCCATCTCCCACTTCAGGTATTCAATCAATGCATTAAGCTGGTAGATAGGAACAAATGATTCAGACTTAAATGTCATTAATGTTAGTAATTTCTTATATCTAGATTGCTGCTACAAATAATGATGAGCTCGTTGTTTTCTTATCTTCTAAGGCAGCTCCACACCTCCACCAACCTCCTCCTCGTCTCTCTGGGCGTCTCAGACTTCTTTGTGGGCCTCATCGTGTTCTTTCAAATTCTCCTTATAGATGGCTGCTGGTTTCTAGGTGACCTGATTTGTATTCTGTATCTGTATGTAGCATACGTTATTACTTCTGCCTCAGTAGGAACCATGGTGCTCATATCAGTTGACCGATATGTGGCTATTTGTGAGCCTCTACATTATTCCAACAAAGTCACACAAAAAAGAGTTAAGATCTGTGTTTGTCTGTGTTGGACATGTTCTGCTTTCCTTCACAGTCTAGTGCTGAAAGATAACCTTGAAAAACAAGCACGGTATACTTCCTGTTTCGGAGAGTGTGTTGTTGTCAATAACTACATTTTTGTTCTTGCAGATCTTTTTTTGAGTTTTATTTGTCCCGTCACTGTCATCCTAGTTCTGTATATGAGAGTCTTTGTGGTGGCTGTGACTCAGGCTCGTGTCATGAGGTCTCATGTTGCAGTTTTACCTCTAAAGGTTTCAATGAACATAACTGCTAAAAAATCTGAAATGAAAGCTGGACACCTTGCTCGATGCCTCATCTGCTACGATCGTAATATGTGTGTTTTATTTCAACTCGTGTCTTAACCCTCTGATCTATGCCTTTTTTTACCCCTGGTTTAGAAGGTCTATGAAGCTCATTGTTACTCTTGAGATACTGCAGCCTGGTTCATGTGAGAGAAACCTGCTGTAGAGACACTGCATGCTGAGAGGAAATAGACAAGAAAAATGTACTTGATCGTGTTGAGAATTTAATAACAGATATAGACGTCTTGATCTAGTGAACTCTACAAACACTTCTTGGTCCAGTGTACAAACACTTGAAGATCATATTTGTGTCTTTACATTGTGTACCGCTTAAATGAGACGGTGAACCAACTTAGAAAACCTCTACAAATCAAATTACTCTAGGATATTTGTTGCCTGACATGTGTGAGACTAACATACAATAAATAAGTTCAAGAATGTTTTGACCAATATAAAAATGGTGTTGTCTTTTTTGCCTTGAACAGGTCTTTAATGGCATTGTGAGACCTTCAAGGGCAGAGACGCACTGGGGAAAGAAAGTAACTCTGGAGTGTTGTGGAATATTTTAATAAAACTTGTTCGGGAGAAGAGAATGAATTCTTTCAATGTTCATCTAATTAAAAAACAGACTCTTGATGAATGGTCAAAGTTGCAAAAAGTCCATTTATTGCTTGCAAGCAGGAGGCCAAATACACCAGCACGTATCACAGTGCTCTATGGAGATGGCGTCTCCGAGCAGTAAAAAAATACACATAGGAAGGCCATTCTCAGTGGCAGGTATGAGAAGTTGCAAACCAAGTCGAGATAAGAACCAAGGTGAGGGTAACACACACTGCTCCTTTGTACGAGTGCCTGTGAGAGCAAGTTAACTCAATTTTTCAGACACAGCTGCATATGGAAACCTTAAATCTTTTCTGTTTTTGCACATGAGGGTCAAACACAGACGCTTGAGACACAGGTTTAGCACAAGACAATGTTATAACATATTTTTACCATTACAGGAGTTACTGTCAGATCGGCCCACTCAGTGCACGATGCATCGCCAACTCAATGCATCGCATGTATCGACCATTCAGTGGCCTAGTTGGAAAAATGCACTTAACAATATTTTGGATAATTACAAAGAAATTTCATATCAAATGTTTCATGTGTTGTTGTTTTTTTAATAACATTTGGATCTGATCTGATCAGTAGTGTTGCATGTTGGGTGTGTGATTGTATTGAAGGTGCATAACAAAAGTTGTGTCAACAGTCTGTGGTTTCCTAAATAAATCTGAGATTTTAAAATGTTTTGATGCACCTTCCTCCAGACATCTCTTCTTCTTCTCCCTGAGATTTTTAGTTTCACTTTTAAAGTTTTGGTGACGGGCCGGGTCCAAAACGCGTTTGTGAGTGAGGGACACCAGTGTTTAGTAGGATAAAGCGGTGGTGTCAAACTCAATCGCAGAGAGACACAATTAAAAACTCATTACTTCGATACAATAGCACAGAACCCTGAGGAACTCCAGTAGTTAGAGGACAAGGTTCCGACACAGATCCTCGCCAGGTTACCCGGTAGGTGCGGCCGTCGAGGTAGGACGAGAGAAGGGAGAGAGCAGAGCCTTTAACGGGGAGGGACAAAGGTCAACATCAAAACACATTAGAGTCATCTCCAGCGGGAAGGAAGATGAGCATGGAAACTATTGTTCTTCAGTCTCCATGGAGAAAGAAACAACAGCAGAGGTGATGCAGTAGGAGGGGTGGACCCAAAGTAAAGAGACAAATCAGTTGTAAGATAAGAAGCTTTGGCCAGTCAGCTGAAGCTGTTCTGCAGCTTCTCCTCTCCGGTGATGGAAACCTTGGTGGGAACTGAGCTTTGCTTTCCACAACTCATCAACACCTCCTGCAGAAAGCCAATTCGTCCTCACTTAGAAGCAATGTTGATTTACATTTTGTTGTCCTCCATCTCTCTGCTCACTCTAGCTCTCAACCTGCTGGTCATTATCTCCATCTCCCACTTCAAGTAGTGAAATATTTTTATTTAATTGTGAATTTGATGGATTGAGTGTTGCTTATTCACAAACTCGTAGATTTTGCTGATTTTCTTGTATTGTGTATTTATATCTGACCGATTGATGACATGAATATTGATCCAAATATCAATATCTGTTTCCCTCCAGGCAGCTCCACACCCCCACCAACCTCATCCTCCTCTCTCTGGCCGTCTCAGATTTCTTCGTGGGCCTCTTCGTAATCTTTCAAATAATGATAATAGAGGGCTGCTGGTTGCTCGGTGATCTCATGTGTTCTCTTTGGTTGATTCTATCATCTATTATTATGTCATCCTCAATTGGAACCATGGTGCTCATATCAGTGGATCGATATGTGGCTATTTGTTATCCTCTGCATTACTTCACCAAAGTCAAACCAAAAAGAATTCGAGTCTGTGTTTGTCTGTGTTGGATGTTTGCTGCTTTATTTAACAGTCTGCTGCTGAAGAATAACCTGCAACATCCAGGCAGGTATAACTCCTGCATAGGAGAGTGTGTCATTGAAATGAACTACATCGCTAATGTTTTTGATCTAATTCTTTCATTCTTTTTTCCCATTACTGTTATTGTCATTCTATATATTAGAATATTTGGGGTGGTTGTGTATCAGGCTCGTGCCATGCGGCCTCACATTGCAGTTGTGACAATGAAAGTAGCCGTTAAAAAGTCTGAAATGAAAGCAGCCAGGAATCTCGGTGTTGTTGTAGTTGTGTTTCTGATATGTGTTTGTCCGTATTATTGTTTCACTCTTACATCCCAAAATAACTTGTACACATCTTTATCTGTAACCATCCTAGTATGGTTGTTTCAGTTTAACTCCTGTCTCAACCCTCTGATCTATGCCACTCTCTACCCCTGGTTCAGAAAATCAATTAAGGTCATTGTTACACTTCAGATACTGAAGCCTGGTTCCTATCGGACCAACATGCTTTAGAGACACCCTGCATGGGTCTAAATTTATACCTTTAGCCTGAACAGTATATGCAAAATTGCATTTATCCTGCAGCTAACATTTCCCCTTTTCACCTTGTACATTATGAACTTATCCGGTGTGGAAGGTGAAAGCACAAGTAGATCCTTAAAGACGAGCAAAGCATCTGTAAAATGTAAAAAAAAAATCGAATGGAATAGATTTTGCTTTCGAATTAAGTGACAATTGTTGCACGGGATACAATGTTATTTTTTTCATTTGATGACTTTAATCCGGAATAACCTGTAGCAGAGTCAATGAATACATTTAATAAATTATAAACATGTTTCATCTATAAACAAGTATCAATCTTTCATTACTTAACCTAAATTTTAATAAAATGGTTTATGAGAATTAAACCATGTTTTCTATAAAACCATGTTATGTAAGTCATGATCTTTTAACCAACAATTTGAAGAAGTGATATCTTTATTGATCCCAGCATAGATAGACTTTGTTTTATGTGTGCTGTGAAACCTCCCAAGAGTCAGTCACATAACAATTGAGTGTGTGCTGGTTTGTTGTCTTCCTCTAACAAACACTCTTTGTGATGGAAGATTTTACACAGACAATCGTAAAATAAGAACGTCGGCTCTGAATGAAATATGTCTTTCTCAGTTTATTTTCTGGCAACGAAAAAAGGTGACAACAGCTACGTGCACAGTAGACTGCCGAGAATTTCTTACTGCCCCCACAACACGGCAAGGCTGTTCTTATACTTCAGTTACAGATGGCATCAACAGAAAACTTGCTTATATCCAACACATGTGAACCAACTTGTTGTGTCTCTACAGTCAGGACATCTTATCAATGTGAGACACTTCAGTTCTTTTCCCATGGCCTCGCCATCCCAGCACAATTAATAAACTTAATAAACTGGTTATACAATGAAGCATTTTTAAGGGTTACATATATTTTTTCCATTGCACCTTGTAGTGGCCCGAAAAGGGCCTCCATTTTAGATAGTGTTCATTTTCATTATATATTAACGGAGTTATGTGAACACAGCAGGAATAATTTTAATTGTGTAAATGAAAAAGCATAGCATTACGTAACTCGGTGGTTCTCTTTTTCTGACCCACTTTTGAGGAAGGAAAACTTTCACAATCCAACCCCCTCCTCCCCCAACAATATTTGCATTTTGTGACTCCTATAATAAAAAATGCAATCAAAAGTAAACCAGGTTTGCGCCATCAGAAAAGACAAATGAAATGTAAACCATCTTTTTAGATCAATGCGAATGAAGTTCTCTCCAACCTGTGCAAAGCAAAACCGTATTGGTGCGGCTACGTATGAGCCATCTCCTTTTATCAGTACCAGTCGCTGCAGTGAGCCTGCTTTCCTCAACAATTCTTTTCAAAACAGGTTTGCAGACTTGATACGGCCTCTCAATTCTTGCTCAGTGTTGACGTTGGATTGTATTTCATTTTGATAGAGGCAACAGCAGTCTGTGTGCCCTGTACTTTTATAATATGGGAGGTTCTCAATAAATATTTATCACAAGTTTTAACGTTGAACTTGAGCATGAATATAAAATACATTTTCTAACACTTAAGTTTTTTTCTCTTCAATTCAAATAACGGCTGTATTAAATAATAAATTACAAAGTGCTTTTTAAAAAACTGCTTATCTTTAAATAAGGTGCTTAATTTAAGAAAAATGTCATGTCAAGCTCGAACAGGACCCAAACACAGACTGGATTGATGGGAAGAATAAATAGTTTATTTACGTAGACCCAAAAATAACGAAAAAACACTAGTCCGAGGTGTTCTGGTTTCTGGGGGTGGGGTTTGGTGGGGAGGAATCCAGCAGCCTCCCCACATCTAGCGAGCCCATAGATTTCCCAGTTGCTGGGGGCAGGCGGCGAGGTAACGGCCTAACTGGCCGCAGTACAGGCAGCTGTTGGAATCCCTCAGTCGTTGACTTCCTTCTCCGGAACGCGATGGCCTCCCGGCTGCATGGGTTCTGGGGCTTGAGCCCTTGCCTCACATGCCGACTTGTGAGTGACCCATCGGTTTGCTGGAGTCGCTCTCTCCCTTGTCCGTTCTCTACCTCGGTTATCCACCCGCAGTGCCAACGCAATTAATTCCTCCAACCAGTTAGGTTCTGGATAGGACACTAGTTCATCCTTCAATTGTTCATTTACACCGTTATGAAACACTGCTTGTAGAGACTCTTCATTCCAACCGCTCTCTACTGCTAAAATACGGAACTTAACGGCATACCGTGCTACACTACTCCTTCCCTGGCATAATGACATCAAGTGCTTCAAGGCGTCCTTACGTCGGATTGGATGGTCGAAGATCTGACGTAAAGGAGCTGTAGGTAGGGGCATCCCGGTTAGTCTGTTCCCAAACCGCTGATGCCCATTCCAGGGCTTCTTTCAGCAACCCCACAATATAGGCAATGTTTGCTTTATCGTGGCGTACATTCGTGGTTGTAGGTCAAACACGAGTCCACATTGCATTAAGAATGAACGACACTGGCCCATGTCCCCACCATACCTCTCAGGGGTTGGTACCCACGGTTCGTGATTGGTTGTCGCCGATAGCGTCGATGTCATAGGCATGGCGACTGGTGCTGGGGTGGGCGCAGGTGCTACGACCGGGGTGCTGAGGTGTTCCTGGATGGCAGACACACTGACGGAAAGTGCCTGGAGACTGGTCATTACTTCTTGCAGGGCCGAGTTGTGCGGACCAATCAGGATTCCCTGACTGGAAACGGCCTGGCGGACGGTGTCCAAGTCTGCTGGGTCCATACTCTGGCCGGATCGTTCTGTCATGTCAAGCTCGGAACCAGACCCAAACACAGACTGGATTGGTGGGAAGAATAAAGAATACTTTATTTACGTAGATCCAAAAATAACAAAAAAAACACCAGTAGTCCAAGACATTACATCTCATTTAGCGGACGCTTTTATCTTTAGTCGAGGTAGAGTCTGAAGAGGTGTGTCTTTGCGGCGGAAGATGTGAAGGCTCTCTGCGGTCCTGGTGTCTTCAGAGAGCTCGTTCCACCATTTCGGCTTCGGTTTGACCATGTCCTGGATGTAAGCTGGACCCGATCCATTCACAGCATGGTACGTGAGCACCAATGTTTTGAACTGGATGCGGGCAGCCACCGGTAACCAGTGAAGAGAGCGGAGGAGTGGAGTAGTGTGGGAGAATTTCGGAAGGTTGAAGACCAGTCGAGCTGCTGCATTCTGAATGAGCTGCAGAGGTCGAATGGCGGTGGCAGGGAGACCAACCAGGAGGGAGTTGCAGTAGTCCAGGCGGGAGATGACAAAGCCTGAATCAGTACCTGCGCTGCCTTCTGAGTGAGAAGGGGACATATTCTCCTGATGTTGTAGAGCGTGTATCTACAGGATCGCGTTGTCACAGTGATGTTGGGAGTCAGGGAGAGTTGGCTGTCGAGTGTGTCGCCAAGGTTCTTAGCGGTCAAAGTAGGCAATAGCACAGAGTTTCCAAAATTGACTGTCAGGTCCTGGGTAAGCGAATCTTTTCCGGGAAAGAGAAGTAGTTCAGTCTTGTCGGGGTTGATTTTCAGATGGTGGGCGGACATCCACTGAGAGATGTCAGTTAGACAGGCAGAGATCCGAGCCGCCACCTGGGTGTCCGAGTGAGGGAAGGAGAGAATTAGTTGGGTGTCATCAGCATAGCTGTGGTAAGAGAAGCCATGCGAGCGAATGACAGCGCCAAGAGAGTTGGTGTAGAGCGAGAACAGGAGGGGACCCAGGACGGAACCCTGAGGAACTCCAGTAGTAAGAGGACAAGGTTCCCGACACAGATCCTCGCCAGGTTACCCGATAGGTGTCGGCCGTCGAGGTAGGACGAGAGAAGGGAGCGTGCAGAGCCTGTGACACCAAGTTCCTGAAGGGAGGAAATAAGGATCTGGTGGTTGACCGTGTCAAATGCAGCAGAGAGGTCCAGAAGGATGAGGACAGAGGAGAGAGAGGCGGCTCTAGCAGTGTGGAGTTGCTCTGAGACAACAAGGAGAGCAGTCTCTGTGGAGTGGCCTGCCTTGAAACCTGACTGGTGGGGGTCAAGGACGTTGTTACAGTGGAGATAAGAGGAGAGTTGATTAAAGATAGCACGTTCAAGGGTTTTGGACAAAAAGGGAAGAAGAGAGACCGGTCTGTAGTTGTTTTCTTCAGAAGGGTTGAGGGTAGGTTTCTTCAGGAGGGGGTTGACTCTTGCCTCCTTCAGAGAATTGGGATAACAGCCAGATAACAGAGCGTTGTTGATGAGACAGGTGAGGATTGGAAGAAGGTCAGGTGCGATAGATTGTAGAAGATGTGATGGAATGGGGTCAAGAGGGTAGGTGGTCGGACGGCCAGAGGTTACTAAGGTAAGAATTTGGTTAGGAGAGAGGCCGGTGAAAGAGGAAAGTGAGGGCGAAAGAGGTGAGGTCGGTGGGACGCGAGAAGTAGGAAGTGGGTTTGAGAAGGAGGAGCGTATGTCAGCTATTTTCTTGGTGAAGTAGTTGACAAAGTCTCCCGGAAGAAGGGTGGAGGGGGAAGGAGGGGTAGGGGGTTCGAGGAGATTGGAGAAGATCGAGAAGAGTTTTTTGGGGTTAGAAAATGAATATTCAATTCTGGATTGGTAGAAAGAGCTTTTGGCAGCAGAGATAGAAGCAGAAAATGAGGAGAGATTGAAATTTTAGCAGGTCATCAGGTCGTTTATATTTACGCCATCTCCTTTCCGATGCTCGCATGATGGCTCTCATGGCACGCACCGGTTGAGACAGCCACGGAGCCGGAGGGGATTTGCCAGTCCGTCGTGTCGTAAGAGGGCAGAGAGAGTCTAGAGAGAGTTGAGAGGAGAGTCTCTGCAGCAGCGTTCAGATGCAAGAGTGTGAAGGAATCAGTTGAAGGGAGAGCTGATAGAACAGAGGATGCCAGCGAGGAGGGAGAGAGGGAGCGAATATTGCGACGAACAGGTACAGAGTCAGTCAATGAGGGAGGTTTGTTAGTTATAGAGAGTGCAAGGGAGTAAGAGATGAAGAAGTGATCAGACACATAAAGTGGAGTTACAGAGAGGTTAGTGGTAGAGCAGTTTCTAGTAAAGATGTAGTCAAGGTGATTGCCGGTTTTGTGAGTAGGAGGAGAGGGACTGAGTGACAGAGCGAAAGAAGAAAGAGGTCAGATGACTTCTCTGTCTGGATGTTGAAGTCACCCAGGAGGATGATTCAGGGAAATTAGACAGGAGAATGTCCAGTTCTTCCAAGAAATGACCTAAGGAGCCTGGCGGACGGGAAAGGACAACGATGGTTAATCGTACCGGGTGAGTGACTGTTACAGCATGGCGTTCTGGTTTCTGGGGCTGGGGCTGGGGCTGGGGCTGGGGCTGGGGTTTGGTGGGGAGGAATCCAGCAGGGTGAACAACGGTAGCCTCAGGCGAAGTCCTGGCACGTAACGATCCGGCAGAGACTGGATCTCCGTACGGCTCCTAAATACCCCCCTGATCGGGAACTGGAGCCAGGTGTGTAATTGGCAGCAGCTGAGCGTCCAAGGTCTACGACCGTTGTCATGACTACTGGAAAAACATCAGACGGCGTCCAAAGAATAATGCCCACCTGGCCTGCCGGGAGTTGAGTCGTTTGGCGGACCGCACGTATTCCAAGTTCATAGGATCTGTCCATACGACAAACGGCCTCCCCACTCCCTCCAGCCAGTGACGCCACTCCTCCAATAGAATCTTCACTGCTAGCAGCTCCCGGTTCCCCACATTGTAATTGGCCTCCGCTGGGGACAAACAGGCACATGGGTGGAGCTTACCGTCTTTGTCTGACCGTTGGGACAGCAACGGCCCTTTATTGTGAAAAAGTCATTAAATTATATATTTAGTCATATGAAGGTGCACGATGGTGAGAAAACCTACTTTTGAATAAAAATCTGAATTTTTTCTAAATTGGAGTCATAAGACATTCTAACGGCGGCAGTTGACATGGTACAGTGGTGTAGTTGTTAGCACTCTTGCCTCCCAGACCCATGCCTCGGGTTCAACTCCACCCAGTGGCGCCACTGTGTTAGCTGGTGTAGGCTAAGCCTGCATGGGGTTCACTCCATACTTGTAAAAGTAATGGAAATAAAAAATTTTAAACTTCCAAGTCTGAAAAGAATCACCAAATATTTTGCAAAAAGTCATGAAATTCTATCTTTAGTCTTATGAAGGGGGGACGATGGTGAGAAAACGTACTTTTGAATAAAAATCCGGATATTTTCTAAAAAGAGTTGTTGTGTCCAACTACCAGGTTCTGACCATCCTGAGTATGTCCATCACATTGTGAAACGAAACAAAGACAAATATGAGAAAAACAGTGAGGACATTGAAAATGCAGTGGAAGAATTTGAACAGAACAGAGGAGTGATTGATGAATGGTGCAATCTGGCTCCAGAATCTGAAGTGGAAAGGTTGGAAGAACTGGAGGCAAGAAAGCCAGATCATGAAAATGTTCCAGAATACACTTATCAAGCTAATGCTGCAACAGAAGCCAGAGCAATCAGAGAGCCTCCGACCTTTGACCCCACACTGCTACAGCAAATGTATCAGAACCTGAACCAGAAACAAGCATCTGTGTTCTATGCGGTTAGAGACTAGTGTGTAAAGCGTGTCTGTGGCCTAAATCCTGAGCGGTTTTTTTTTTTACATCAATGGTGGTGCTGGAACAGGAAAGTCACATCTCATTAAATGCATCTACTCAGAAGCATCTAAGATACTGTGCAAACTGCCCAGCCATTCTGAGGAGGTTGACATATCAAACCCCATGGTCCTGTTGACAGCTTTCACTTTCACTTCACAACTGCAGCCTTTAATATAATCAGGGTCAACACTGCACTCTCTGCTCAAGCTTTCACGAATTCTGAAACCTCCATTTCAAGGACTTGGTAACCAACTGGATGAAGTCCGATCATAACTTTTAAATGCTGAAATCCTCGTCATTGATGAAGTGTCCATGGTGTCAAAACCCCTGTTTGCTTATGTGGATGCGAGACTGAAACAGATCAAAGGTAGTCCCAAACCCTTTGGAGGAATGTCAGTAATAGCTGTTGGAGACTTTTATCAGCTACCACCAGTGCGACAGTCCAAGACCCTCTGTGTGTGCGAGCCATGTGAGATTGACCTATGGCAGGAACACTTTCAGACAATCACCCTGACTGAGATTATGCGGCAGAAAGATGATGTTGCCTTTGCAGAGATGTTGAACCGGATCCGTGTGAAAGGAAAGTCAGATGAGTTGTCTCAAGCAGACAGAGCCTTGTTGTCACAGACCATCACTGAACCATCACTTTGTCCACCTGATGTCCTGCACATCTTTGCAACTAATAAACAGGTTGAATCACACAACTCAGTAACATTAGCTCTGCTGCATTCTAATATCACCAAGATCGATGCTGATGACTACAAGAAGGACCCACGAACTGGAAGAATGGCTCGTCAAGCCCAACCATACAAAGGAAACGGAAATGAGTTACCAGACACACTAAACCAGTGTTTTTCAACCAGGTGTGCCGTGAAAAAAAAAAAAAAAAAGAGCCAACTTGTATGTTTGTGTCGTCGCGCTGTTGGTGGTATGAAGGCTCAATACTCCCCTCTGCCTGTGGGTGGCGCTACGCAGCGTAATTAATAGGCAGATTTGCTGAGGCGACAATTTAAAAAAGTGAGATTAAGATTAAGGCCGGCGCATGCTTCTGCGTTTGAGTCTGCGTCGACGCACTCGTTTCAATTCATGCTTCTTAAAAGTCTTGCATGTGTTGCAGAGCAATTCACCCCCAGAACAACAGGTGGAGTAACGTGTTTTTGTTGAAGACGACCTAGAGAGTCACGTCTATTTATTTATTTATCATAGACTTTATTGCCCCGTGCATCGCCACTGCTGCTTTTCATCGCGGACACATTTGCCCCGTATTTTCCTCCACAACTTTGTTCACCTCTCGACTGGCAAACCGGCGTTTGCGGCGATCTCCCTCCGTGAATCCAACACGCTTCTACAATCCGCCAATGACGGCTTGTAGAAGCGGTCATATTTACGCATTTCTTCCGACAGAAGTTCTTAAATCTGATCCGTTCTCTCGTTAACATTCTTCGTTTTAATAATGGCGGTATCGGTCTATGAAAGCGGAAATGTGAGACTCCGTAAAGGACGTAGTTAGCGGACCAATCGCAGCCTGGTGGCTCGACACACGCACGGAGTTGTGAAAAGCGACGCAAGGGACAACGCAGAAGCATAAACTAGGCTTAAGAGATACCTGGGCATAAAGCCTGTGCCATCTTGGCATTAGGATGATGTTAAGTTTAATGAAACACAACAAATAGAACACGCGTTTCCCTGATTTCTTAAGAGTATATTATGCTCATTCTGAAACTATGTTTGGGATTGATTTTCATATCATTTCCGGTTGTTGGTGTGCCGTGAGATTCTTTCTGTGTCTTAAGTGTGCCTTGACGCAAAAAAGGTTGAAAAACACTGGTCTAAGGTGTGCGAGCGTGGGGGGTCCCGGTCCACGTTGCCCCGTTTTGACGTGAGGGACGTAACAAGCCTCCTGTTTACTCGTCATCCAGCTGATCAAGCTAGCTTTAGCTCGCTAATAACAGCAGTAAAGCAGTCTAAGACACGTGTTGTTGTCACGTGTTGTCTGATATTTTGTGCTTTGTCCCATATCGGTTATTGTTGACAAATATATTTGTGTGTGTTGTACTTTTTAATGCTGTCATATATGGTAGTCCAGTGCGCTTGCGCATATACTGTGGGTTATACGCTAGTTGATGTTATGGCTGTAAAGGGAGACACATGGTGATCCATTAAGGCAAGGCAATTTTATTTGTATAGCACTTTTCATACACAAGGCAGACTCAAAGTGCTTCACATAACATTTCATACAATAAAGTGAAATAAAATGCAGGAATTAAAAGACAATTAAAAACAGCAAATAAAATTATAAATCAAAATCTTATTTAAATTGTTTAATTAAAAGCAGAGATTCAAAGTGCAATGTAGGTAAAATTTAGCAGAAGGCGAAGCTGAACATAAAAGTTTTCAGTCTTGTTTTAAACGTGGTCAGAGTTGGGGAAAGTCTTAAATCTTCAGGAAGTTTATTCCAGCTGTTTGTTGCGTAGTAACTAAATGATGCTTTCCCATGATTTGTATTTACTCTGGGAATCACTAACAGATTGGTGTCAGAAGATCTTAGTGATCTTGAAGGCTTATGTAGTGGAAGCATATCAGTGATATACTTTGGCCCTAAACCATGTAGTGTTTAAATCAACTAAGAAGCCTCTAATGCATTTATTTACAAATGCCATTTTAAATTCATCGCATAGCACTTGGTTGTTTTTTAGCTGTATGCATTTACTTAACTTGCACTACAATGATGGTAATAATTTAATGAATATGCTTCAAGTGAACATGAGGGTGTGTTTTAGTGTAGTATAGAGAACTAGTTCTGACGAATTTGAGGTTCTGTTTTAGAATAAAGGGTTGGAAATTAAAGCTTTTTAATGCCGTTTTAAAAAAAATCCGATTCATCGATTAATCAAAGAAATAAATCGACCGATTAATCGATTATCAAAATAATTGTTGGTTGCAGCCCTAGTTATGAGTGGTTTCTTTCAGTTTTGTTTAACAAATTGTGTTGGGAAAAAGTCTCGAAATAGTATGTATGCTTTGTCCGAGTTGTAAAAACAGCAATTCTATAACAACTGTTCTAGAGATAAGTGTATGAGTTGTAGATAGGAGAGGTAAGAGGTGAGGGTGAGAGAAGAGAGTCTCTCAGAGTATTCAAATCAGATAGATAAGGTACCGGTAACCCAAGTCGAGCCAACAGAGCTTAGTCCAAAATTCAGTTCAGAAAAAGGTTTCCAGAGTTAGTTCCATTTCATTGCCAAAGATTACCAACGTGAGAGTGGGATAGAGGGGGACACAAAGTGTGAGTTGCCATATGCAAAAGACAGAGCGGTAGATGTGACAGTAGAGATAGAGAGCCAACTTGTAGACAGGAGTGGATACAAGGTACAGGAGAGATAGAGAGCCAACGTGATAGAGGAGAGATGCTGCACAGCAGGACACCTGGAAGACACAATACAAACACACTTTAAACAGCAGTTTGAAGATCAATTTATGGAACATCAAACTAAAAGTGCAGTGAAGACTTTGCTCACATGACCAGAATATAAACCATTCTACCTCGATAATACCGCACTTATTTATATGAAAAACAATGTATCATTAAGTAGACGTCTCACAGCCTGCGTCTCTCTCCCGAGTTGTTTCACAGAGTCGCTGCTGCCAGCTCTCCTTTTACAGGGTTTGCCTGCATGATTACCAGTTTCATTTTATTTTGAACTAATTACATAATCATTTTATTTTAAATATAAAAGGTTTAGGAAGTAAATGGTAAATGGCCTGTACTTGTATAGCGCTTTTCTAGTCTTCCGACCACTCAAAGCGCTTTAACACTACATGACATCATTCACCCATTCACACCCATTCATACACTGATGACAGGAGAACCACACACAGTGACACCTGCCATCAGTAACTAACATTCACACACTGTAGTCGCAGCTACAGGAGCAATGTTGGGTTAAGTGTCTTGCCCAAGGACACAACGACATGCGGGTTAGCCGGGCCTGGGATCGAACCCACAACCCTCTGATTGGAGGACGACCTGCTCCCCACTCACCCCTGAAGCATTGGGGTTTATTCATAAGATGTGAACAATCCACAATTAAAAGCTGATACTCTGAATTCATGGAGCCGTGAGAGTCACTGCCTTTTCCTTTACTGTTCTGCAACTATTTCAGAATAAAAGCCTTTTGTTAATAAAGGGATTCCTGGACAGGAATCTCGAAAAGAGACGCAGTCTCACACAGGCAGTGCAGCTCGGAGTGTTTCATAACAACTTGTGTGAACTTACTGTGAAGTCACCAGCAGTGATGGTCTGTAATTAAAGACAGAGAGGAAACAGGAAGAGTAGGGAGAGAAATACATTTACATTCTTCTTAGAAAACCAGTGTATCACATCCTATTTCACTCCAGAACTGTTCTTACGGTCGGGTGATTATTGTTACGTACAGATAATTATGATGGGAGGACATTTAAAACTGTAAACCAATGTAAGATCAGTTTACTTATAGCATAAATATTAACAATGTGTGTGAACTTACACTTCAGAGTCAGCCTGCAGGAGGGGGATGAAGAGAGAGAGAAAAAGAGACATTTTAAGTTCACTTCAGAAAACCAACCTATATCTCATTTTAAGTACTTTCAGGTTCCTTATTTATTACCAATGTATAATTTAAAATGTACATAGAAGTGAGAGTGTGACTGAGGTAATACTGACTTGTCAACAACATGCAATCGTATCCCTTCAATATGCGTTATTGCCTGTCAAGGACTTTAAGAAACGCAGCTGGCTCTATCGCATAGGACACAAGATTAACGCTGCCACCATCAGTTACAGATAATGCAAGCTTTTTAAATGTTAATGTTTTCTGATTGAATAGATCTGATTTCTGGCTAAAACAATACATCCACAATAGAAAGAAATACATATTGAAGCTCATTTTTTTTAACGAAAAAGATCTACATATGCTAAACAGTGATTCACATTTTCAATTTAATGACAGCATTTCTATACTTACCAATCAAAATGCAGATATGGATTAATGTTCTGTTGTCTGCCAGAGGAAACAATATGACAAAAAGAGTTAAAACTTCAAGCCAAACACAAAAAAACAAAACTCTATTCAATATATTATCTATTCGAGTACTACTCTTTATTACTACCAGCATCATATGGGAAATCAAGACTTAAACAATGCATGACAACGGTTGAGAAGTCTTCATTAGTTTGTGTGTGTAGCCTTTGGTTAAAAGAAACAAGCCAGGATTTCAAATGCAATATACATAATAATATCCAGCCTATTGCTCATCATATTTACCCCTATTCTTGCCTTAAATGTTACTAAATGCTGGTAAACTAAAGACCTAAGGAGCATTAACAGTATTCATGTTATAAATTAGCTTGTTCCTACTGACGTTTTTACTAATGTGTTGGCGGTTTAAAAGGCATCACATTCGTGTGTAACTCCTTCCTGTAACTACATAGATAGATAAGATACTTTATTGATCCCTCAAGAGGGAAATTTTGGTATCACAGCAGCATGTACAGGGAAGAAAATAGAATAAAAAGATACACATTATATACACAATAAGAGAAATATTAAATTATTAAATAAAATAAACTGAAACAAAAGAATAACCTTCCAAAAGAGACAATAATAATTTGTAAAAGAAGAAGAGGAAGAGGAAGCAGAAGCAGTACAGGGTTATTATTGTCATTATTTAGCCTGGGATGATTTATTGTAGAGTGCCTTGCACTGGGCAGGAACGACCTCCTGTATCGGTCCTTGTGACAGCGGAGCTGTAGGAGTCTGTTGGAGAACGCGCTCCGCTGTCCCTGTAGCAGGTGGTGGAGGGGGTGGTCAGGATTATCCAATATGGATAACAGTTTCTTCAGTGACCTCCCCTCCAACACCTTTTCCAAGCTGTCTTGTTTGCAGCCAATGATGGAGCCGGCCTTCTTAACAAGTTTGTTAAGTCTGTAGGTGTCACTGGCTCCAATGCTGCTCCCCCAGCAGACCACGGCCAAGTACAAAGCACAGGCCACAACAGACTGATAGAACATCTCCAAGATCTTGCTGCACACATGGAAGGATCGAAGCTTCCTCAGGAAAAGAGTCGACTCATCCCCTTCCTGTAGACGGCGTTGATGTTGGTCTTCCAGTTCAGTCTGTTGTCGATGGAGACACCCAGGTACTTGTAGTCCTCGACCATGGCCACCTCCTCTCCCAGAACCCTCAGCGGTAGCGGAGCAGTCGTCTTCCTCCCGAAGTCGACCACCATCTCTCTCTCTCACATAACATGACCGGAGGAGCTGGATATTCTCTGTGGGAATATTTGTGGGTTTTGGCATCATGGAGGGGAATCAGCTATGGACAAATTCACTCAATTTTTACGTTTTACGTGGTGTGGAAGGCCCACATATGCCAGGGAGACGATCGAGCTGCACTATCACAAGTAATCACGGTAGGCATATATATCACGGCGACTGGTTCAGTGCAGCAGTAAGAGCCCAGAATAAACATACAACAAGGGTCATTCCCTGAGAGGGAACTCTCCACCCTACACAATAGAAGTGCACAAATAAGTAACTAAAGAATTACAGGCTTAGGCCCTGATCCGTCCCCTCTCGGCACTGACGCGGTCAGGGATTTCTGACCGTGGAGGGGGAAGTTATCGAAGTAAGTGAAGTTTACTTTACATCAAATTGTAGGAATTTGTGAATAATGGTATAAAATTTGAATTAACCCACAAATCCAGCTGGCCACAATCAAACAGCTCTCCAAGGAAGGGAGGTCTTTCCGCTGCGCAATGTTACACTGCAGCAGGTAAGCAACACAAAGAAAGAAAGACATAGACAGAGATATAGAGACACATAGATACAGACAGAGATAAGAGACAGACAGAAAGACAAAGAGAGAGACTCACAGTGACAGAAGCTGAATTGAAATCTAATGTGACTTCACAGGGGAAAACCCGGGTGCCGTTGTGCCTTTGGAGGGAAGCGGCAGAGAAAGTGAAGCTTCAGATTGGGACACATATCAAAGTGTCCCATCTGAAAGCCTCCACCACTAACTATGGGTTCCAACTCCAATCGACGACATTTTCAACGGTCGAGGTAGGCCTACTTGGTTGTTGCTGTCTCGTATATCTTATCTATATTAAATTATCCAAAAAGTCATTTTTTGGACACATTTTTATATGATCACATCTTCAAAGTCTGCTGGAAGGATGTCGTAAAATGTATTCTATGTACACAGTTTATAAGTGGCAATAAAAAAAACATATGGTCAATGGAGCAAATTTAAAATGAATAGGCAATGCCTACAGTGGATTCATTAAAAAAGGAGTACAATCGATGTTTAGGTAATTGATGCGAGAAGAATAAACCTGTATGTGTTTCTCTCGACAGGAGCTACACTTCGATGACACTGTGGGTGTGCTCAGGGTGATGGACGTAGAGGGTGAGCCAGGCACCCTGAATATGCTCCTGGACAACGGCCGTATGGTCCTTGTGGTGGCGGGCGTGGTTTGGCTCGGCTGCAGAGGGGACGGAGAAGAGAGTGGCTCAGGGAACGGAGCCAGGTGGAGGCAATTGGCCTCAGCTGGGCCGATTGTACTAACGTTTTGTATTGTGGTTTTAAAATGCAGTAGCAGAGTCGACGGGGAGAGAGCGAGACGCCGGGAGAGCTCGATCCTGCATTAAGAAACCAAAATAAAAACGTATTGCTTCTATACCTGCTGTGTCGTGCCGACTCTGTACGCCCCCCCAAGGATCCGCACCGTGACAGTCCTCTTTGCGGAGGTCCTGTGGAAGACAGTGGAGGATCACCTTGTTGACCCTCCACTACAAGTCCACATTGCAATGAGTGGAAACACAGTTTCATCCATTAAGATCAGTTTGTGAATATTTTACTGTTTAACGTTCCAAGGTGGTTCTGTTCAAAATGTCTTAGTTATTTAGTCTTTTAATTGTATTGGTATTCCCCTTTGTATTTAATTGTTTACATGTGTATGAATTGTTCTTTATCGCATTAAATGTATAATATTTAAAGCAAAACTCAACCTTTGCATTTTTTTATTTGAACAGGCATTCATATTACATACATTTTTATACAATCACATCTTCAAAATATTGGGGAGGGAGAAGGACATTTTTTGAGGGGGGCGAGGAATGGAGAAGGCATCTCTTTATGGGGGGGAGGCAGAGTTGAGAAGGAGGGGGCAGGGGGGTGGGTTATTATCAATAGCAGTAGAAACAGCTGTAATAATATTAGTCATAGTATTTGTAGTAACATTAGTAGTAGTTGTGTTATTAATGCCTGTATAAATACTGTTATTAATTGATAGGCCTCATCACAAACATTACAGTAAGAATTCCCTCCATGGGGCTTTTATTTTAAAATGATTGGATTGGGTGGGGGATACTGTAGATAGTGGGAAGGAGGGTGAGGGGGTGAGGTGCTGAGGAAGAGAAATAGACAGACTGACTGAGCGAGTGATTAACAGTGAGAAGAGGTCAGGGGGGGGCGAGTGTCTTCATCATATTGGTCTGTTGACAGAAAGCATAGGTGCGTTATGTGACTCCACTAATCAGGTAATAAGAGCAGCTGTGAGTCACAGACAGAGATACTGCAGCGTGTGTGTATGAGTATCCACGGCAACGGCGCACCTGGGCTCATTAACGAGCTGCTGAAAAGGGCAGAGACAGGACAGCGAGTTACACAGAATCCACACCTCAAACAAGTGTCCACTAGCGCAAAACTATAACAGCTATCTAAAAAATAAGACGTTTGTGAGAGACCCAAGACTCTACCGAACGCAGCGATGGAATTTTTATGTCTGTCCGGTCATAAATACGGCTCCTGTGGCAGTTTACAAAACGTGTACCTCTTTGATTTTTTTGAGAAATATGTCGGCCGATTTGTATTGGAGCCTATGGGGCAGAGGTTGTGTCACTCCAACACTCCTTAAGCCAGAACTAAAGAACTCTAGGATTCCATGAACACATTAATCCAATCAGCACAACCATGCCATTATTAATCTGAAGAAATGAAGCCTCTAGTGTTTTTGTGTGTTGAGTGAATTTTTTAATCCACAATCTTTGCCCTTCCGTCCACCAAGACCCTGAAGGAGGTTTCTGGAGCCATGTTCGAGAAAGTGCTCATACAGGTAGGTGGTTTTATTCTGTATTTGTATGCAATACAAATGTTGTTGGAGTCTAGACAGAAGTGTATTTTTTTGTCTGCCCAATATACATCCTGGCAGACTTTGCGTTGTATACAATAAATAACATTAGTGGAATCGGGCTTTGTAAGACCAGTGCGTCCAGGTAAGTATGGATGAAAGTTATACTTTGAAAGTATATGGAAAAATCATTTGTTCTTTTTGTTGCCTAGGGAGGCGTGGACTGGGATATCTTTAAGGTTCTGATTCCTTCTGTATGCCGAAATTAGTCAATGGCTGTAAGTGGTCCTGTGTCTTTGTGAGGTGAGTCTCCTGGAGGCTGGGGAGAAGGTGGAGACAAAAAAGGGACCAGATGGTGAGTAGGGTCCCCTGTAGTAGTTG